GAACGGTGTACGTCCTGATCCCGAAAAGATCAAGGCGATCACCGACTGGCCCGTGCCGGTCGATGTCAAAGGTCTTCGAAAATTCCTTGGGCTAGCGGCGTATTTGCATAAGTATTCACGCAATTACGCCGAGATGACTGTACACCTCTCTCGTTTGTTGAAAAAGAACGAGAGGTGGTTATGGAACGCTGAATGTCAACGCTCCTTTGAGGGTATCAAGCAGAGCTTGATACAATCCCCAGTCCTAGCAATAGCCGATCAGGACAGGCCATTTCATGTGGTCTGTGATGCCAGCGATTTCGCAATCGGCTGTGCATTAATGCAGTACGACCTTGAAGGCGTTGAATGCGTCGTCTGCTATCAGTCGCGTCAGCTGCAACCAGCTGAGCGGAACTATCCAGTGCATGACAAGGAACTCCTTGCCATGAAGTATGCACTCGCGAAGTTCAGAGTCTATCTATTAGGAGATAGACCCTTCGTTGTTTACACTGACCATGCGTCCTTACGCACGGCAGTGAACAGCCCGCACCTTTCACAACGAATGGCGCGGTGGTTGTCATTCTTTGCAGAATACAACTTTACGGTCGAGTACAAAACCAGGACGACTTAATGTCGTCGCTGATGCACTCTCACGTCGTCCCGACTTTGAAACAGTCGCGAAACCCAACAGTGAGACAGTCACTGTTGCGGTTATGACGTCCTCAGTTCCATCTACAACGTTGTATGATGATGTGAGGCGGGCATACGCCCAAGATGGTGAGATAGTGAAGTTGTTGTCACATCTCTCCCAACCATCTCGAGAATCGTTGAAACGATTGTCGTCTGCGTATCGATCTGCATCAGATCGATACACTACTTGTAACGGTTTACTGTACTATACAGCCGTTTCTGGTGACACACCACGTGTTGTCATTCCAGATGATATTGATCTGCGTTTGCGGATCATGTTCGAGTATCACGATGCTCCTATAGGGAGGACATCGTGGCCGAGAGAAAACATATCTCACGGTAAGTCGAGACTTTTACTGGCCCCGCCAGTATCAGTTTGTGCGAAAGTATGTTCGCGCATGCGAAGTCTGCCAATGAGTGAAGTCAAGTCCTTCACTGCGTGCACCTTTACAGCCTCTACCGGTTCCGGCTGAGTGCTGGGAATCCATCTCAATAGATTTCGTCTTCAGGGTTACCCAAAGACGCACGCGGGAATACGGGTATTCTCGTATTTGTTGACAGATTCAGCAAAATGGTACACCTTGTGGCTGTACCAGAGACAATCACGGCAAGTGGCTGTGCTTGTGTCTTTATTGACACCATCTTCCGACTTCATGGGTTGCCCCGTGAACTCGTATCAGACAGAGATCCACGATTCACTGCTGATTTCTGGCGTTCCGTGTTCAAATTACTCGGAACGCGCTTGAAGATGTCAACATCTGATCATCCAGAGTCAGATGGTCAGACGGAACGTGCCAATCGTGTCCTTGAAGAGATACTTCGAGGATACGTACACTCCTTTAAGAGTTGGAGTGAGTTTTTGCCGATGGTAGAGTTTGCCATCAACAACTCGGTGCATGCGTCCACGACACATACACCGTTTTACGTGAATGGCTTGCGCCATCCGCGTGTACCCACCTTACTAGAGTGTAACTCTGGTTTAAGGGGGGAGGGACTCGCGCGAGCAAAAACCGATTTGGTTCACGCTCATCACGCTCTGACGAAGAAGTCATTGCGTTTGATGCCGATATCGATAACATCGATATCGAAGAAGATGATGCCAGTGAGAGTGCGGAAGCCCTCACTGAAGACAATGATCCCAGTGAGAGTGCGGAAGCCCTCACTGAAGAAAAGGTTGTTGTCGCTGCAGTGCGCTCACAGCACACTGAAGCTAACGAGTCATCAGATGAGTTCATACTGGCTCGTGAAACGGTAGTCCGTTTTGTGCAAGACTCCATCGCCGAAGCGGTGGATAAGCAAAAGCAAAACGCTGACAAGAATGGAAGGGCAAACACTCTTTTATTTAATAAAGGTGACTTAGTCCTACTGTCTACGGTTAATCTACCAAAGCATGTAGTGACTAACTTGGGTAGCAGTAAACTACTACCCAAGTACATTGGCCCATTTCGTGTATTGCACCGCCTAGGCAATGCATACACGATCGAGTTACCACGTAAGATGCGAACGCATCCCACGTTTTACGTTGGTCGGCTTAAGCCGTACCATCAGTACGCTGCTTCTTCCGATGAAGAACGCCCTTGCGCTCAAGCATCTCGCAGAGAGCCTTGTGCTCCCGATGGTGGGCATCAACAAGGGTCTGAAGAGCAGTTATCTCAGCCCGAGACCGATCAACAATCCCACGAGCTACCCTTAGCTCGTCACGAAGAGATGTCAGAGATCTCTCGTTCTCAAGCTGAGCAAAGGCAAACTCAGCTCGATGCTTCGAGGCAGTGTCCACCATCTGGAGACGCCTATTCCGCTCATGCTCGAGATCGTCGCGTAACCCTTGCGTTACGCGATCAAAGAAGCTCTCGGGAACACACCGATCCACATGATCGTGTGGAGAGCGTCTTTCCTCCCCCTCCACCTCCATTAGAGGACTCTCGCGGTGGCCAGCGCTATCTAGTTGAGCAGCAGTTGAACCACCGCGACGTGAACGGACGTCGGACGAGTTACCTCGTCCGGTGGCGCGGCTATCCCCCGTCCTGGGATTCTTGGGAGCCCCGCTCCCAATTGATGGTTGACGTACTGGGTCTGGTCGAGCAGTACGACGCGACACATCCTGTGCCGCAGAAGGACCGCCGGAGAAAGTCTTCCCGGCACGGTCGTAAAGGGATTTCAGGTTGTCAATCCCTTCGTACATCTCAGTAGAGACACGTACGCGCCACCACGGGCTGGTAAGGAGGTAAGCCTCCTTAGGTGCTCGTGCAGAGTTGTTCACACAACATGGGCACGAGTCTCCCCAAGAGAGGCAGGGTAATCCTTTCTCCCTTGACAGACGATGCAGCTTGTAGCGTGCACCTGTCGGGGTTCGCTTTTCAAACTTATCACGAGCTTTGATAAGTTTGTCGTTCCAAGCGTCACGACCTACATCCTCGAGATTATGGATGTAGGCGTTCCACGCCTGAAGTAGTGAGGGACCATCACGTTTGTGATTCCCACTGTACCATCGATGTCTGAAGAAAGCATCGATGAAGAACTCATGTTCAGCGCGATAGTCTTTCGCGCTGGGGTCAAGGTGATGGATCCTTGACGAATCGAACAATCGTGTTCGATAACGATCACTCGTCGTCGCCGACAAGTGATCCATGACAGATTTTGGAGGCATCCATGCCTTCTTTTCTGGAGCGAGACGCAACACATTGCGGTCCCGCTCTTCCTGCGACGTGCCGACAGAAGTACTGGCACCTCGCTGTGAAGTGGTGTCCATTGGAGAACCGACACCACTATTAGCGCCCGAGTCTCGCGACCTCGAGCGCCTTCGCTTCGGCGATGGTTCATCTGACTCATCAGATGAACCAAAGATGCTGCGACGCAAAGCATCGTCCATGCCACGCTTGGCAGGCGGCTTGGATTCAATTGCCGTCGATACGGATCCGTCATCCGTATCAGGAGAGTACGAGACACCGAGCTCGTACTCTGTGAAGACACGAGTGTCTTCATGACCAGCGCCTGCATCACCAGGTGATACAGGCTGAGTCGATTCAGCAACCGATGGGACATCAGTTGCTGTAGTTTCTGCTTCGGCGTCCGCACAGAGACGTGCAGACGCGCTCTCGGCGGCCTTGCTCGCGCATCGCATGGGCTTGTTAACCATGCGATGAGATGTTGGAAAGTGGACGCGGACCAACAAGTGCAAACCCCGTCCCAAATGATTTGGGACGAGTATCCATTTAGTCAATCAGTCACTAAAGTGACTGATGGTTAAGGGGGGGTGATGTAACGGGGTGAATCGTTACATAACAATTTATAAGAAATTGTTAATAGAATATAACTATAAGAGTTATATTCTCAGAATATTGTCATAAGGACAATATTCTGTAGCACTTCCAAGTAGTTCCTAATTGGTTGATATAGGCCATTATATCAACCAACGAAGACGCGCCACGACAGACGCACGCAATGAGTGGTGAGCAGATAACTGATTTACACATTTGTATTTAGACATAGTTAGATGAAGATAAATAGTGATTTATTGCAGACATTAACTATTATAAATACAGTTCTACTTTTTACTCTAACCAAGTACTCGCTTCTTCTTACCGTCTTCCTCTGCACGTACGAGTGTACGTGAAGTTACGAGGCACCGCCTTATTCTGTTATCAGAATAAGTAGCTTGTACTGTCACCAGTACAAGCTTCAGGGTGCCCCGTTACAGTCTCCCTCATAGATATTTAAGCGTATTAAAGTCACTCTTTGGCTAGGCCACTATTGCGACGCACGCACGCGGTTGGCTTTATATCGATTGAAGGTGAATGTGATCATAGAAAGAGATGCTGGACGCTCATAAGCAAAGGCTAATCATGTTGCCCAGGTTTACTTACCGGGTTTAATCTACACATTTAGCTGCATCACACTCATTCTTCAGTGACTGCTGTTGTATAACGTTATGCGTCTTGATTCAGTTATCCGGAACCGAATTACTTATATCGAAGGGGCGAGCTCCAGAGCTTGCTCCCCTATCTAATACATTTTTCGTTGGTATTTTTTCATCTTTCGGTGTACTTTGTTTTCCTCCTTATCTTGTGGCATATTGCATTATTTTCGGAAATCACGTGTTGTATCAGTCGTAGAGAGTTTTAATCGCTTTACATTCTGTACTTGTGATAAATTTTACTTCCGTGCATTTAATATGCTTGAATCGACCTCTGGAAACTGGAAGCTATTTTGATTGGCTATTTATTTATTTTTGGCTCTCATGGAGCTGACGGGAGCTCAGAAGTCTGATCGGTCAACGAACTCATCAACTCGCACTTTTGAGTTCGAGGCTCGACCGTCGCCAGTCGACGACAATGCTGCTGGGAATCGCGCGCTTCGTGTTCCTGGCGCTGACGGACGTGGCGATGCTGCCGGCGCTGGTCGTAATGAAGCGCAATCGTCGACATTTTGAGCTGTTTGTGGGCGTCTCACAGCTCTTGATCTCCTTTTCCTTCAATGCTGCCGAGGCGTTTGACACGCAGCTGTTCCTCATGGAAGACGATTGGCACTTTCTATCGGACGTGGTGTCCATCGCGTATTTTCTGCTGCTCTGCGTACACCTGATGGGGTACAAGGATGAGAACCGGAACATCGTTCTGCGCTACGTGGCATTTGCTGGCTCGCTGCTCTTCAAGACCAAGGACCGATGGGACTCGACGTTCTACGAAGGGATGCTCGTGGCTTGCTACCTGCTGGGAGTTGTCTACCGTCGAGTGTTTACCGTGAGCAATGACATTTCTCCACTGAACAAGCAGAACGCAGCGTACGGACTATACAGCCTTGCTGCAGCGGCAGTTGCGGCGATCGCTGCGTTCTACTTTGAGGACGAAGACACGGCGGTGGGGGTCGCCAAGGGCATGATGCATATGCTGGCTGGTTCTGCGTTCTACTATGCGTGGCTCTCTGTGCCTTGCATGGACTCGAAGAAAGATGACATCATTCCGACGCACAGCTTGTACGTGTAGAGTGCGAGTGCGTGTACAGATCCTTAGTTGACACTTGACATCTTGGTGGAATAAAATACGCTGCATACTGTTTGCTCAACTAAATGGTCGCGGGGCAATATCACGTGTGCTGGCAGTGCTGAAAAAGTGTCCCATACAATTTCACCAGAAGCGATCAGCAGGCCGAGAGGGTGTATCAAAGCACCTCTGTTCTATAGTATTTTCAGAAGCGCGCAACCTCAAGTGCCAACAGCTTTCAAACGAGCAACAAAAATCACGTGACTGGCGTCAGGTCGCAATCAAACACGAACTGGGGTGACTCAAGAGATCGCGTGGCTCGTCAGTTTCAGCAGACGTATCAAGTGAGTTTTTCATCTCGCACTAAGGTCGATAGATCAGCCCACTTCCGCAACACTTAGCTCATTAAGCGTATGAGGCGCTTACTTACTTCACTGACGAGCTGCGGAAGAATGCTGTAGATCTTCCTGGACCTGACTGAATCCTCGTCTACCGGCATAATTGCACAGCTCTGCGTTTAACGCCGCATTAAATAATCCCTGTCTCGTCCCGCACTCCCTTTCTGCACCATCTTTCCAGGTCTGCGAACGAGCGGCCGTACATTGACTCACTCCTATTATTCTGCAGTTCTTCAGTTTCCATCAAAACGGCTGGAATTGCTGTAATTGCTGCTGATGACGCTGGGCTTCAACCGTCTGCTGAAACGTTTGCTTTAGCGCTTCACGGATGTTGTTACTGAATTGAACAATTCGCACGAACTCCACATTGCGAGCTTTCTTTAGCCTCATGATGTTCCTCTCATGCACCTGAATCTCGGCGCTGGCGGATTGAATGAGCGAATTCTCCATGCTGGAAGTCACCGTGTACGACTTGGCAAGCATGTCACTGATTTGTTGATTCGACTCCACGAGTTTCTTCTTGTGCCGGTTAATCTCAATTGACAACTGCAGACATTTACGGTGGCTAATCGACGGGACCTGTGGAACATCACCGAGTTCTGAGAGGCGGAGAGAACGAACAGAAGCCATGATGTCGTCAGACTGGACTATCATCGCGATAAGGAGCTTGTCTCGCAAACCCTTCGAAGCTTCTAGTGCAGGCTGCAGCTTGTTCAGCAAATCCATTATGGGTCTTGCGGTGTATGGTCCTTGGCGCGCTGCAAGTGCTATCTGCCTGGTTAACTGCTCACCTTGTAGCTCCATGCTTGCCACATTCTGGTTCACTTCGTGATAACGATCCACCAACGAGTCAACGAGCACATTCTGCGCAGATACGGCACCCCGGCGCGCGTGGAGATTATTCAGACTCAATGTGCTTGCCAAGTCTGTGCTGATACCAGACGTTGTTGGCCACATCGGTGTGCCAACACTGGCAGGTGCGGAGCTTAGCGTTGCCCCAGGGCTCATAATATTGGTCGTGTAGACTGGGCTGCCGTGTCCATTTCCTACCAGTGGCGGCATTCCGAACGGAAAATTACTGTTACCCCACTGCAAACCTACATTCGCATGAGGAGTGACAGTGTTGACGCCTTTCGAGATAGACGGCGTGCTGTACGATGGATGCACCGGTAGTGCATAAGGTGATGACGATGTGTGAATAGGCGCTTCAAAGAACGGAAACGGCTCTAGCATCGTAGCATGAGCGGATGCGGCTTGGTCATCCGTGTTGGCTGAAGCATTCTGCTGTGACAGAGCACATGTTCCTGTGCTGCTGGTTTTTGGTCGGATTGCCGCCGACCCGCAAGTATCAGCCTGTTGTTGAGCGCTCTGGTTGCCGGGAGGTGAAATGATCACCGGCTCATCTTCTTCGGCATCGTCATCGTTATCGATAACAATTACTTCAATCTCGCGTTTCCGCTTCCCACCAATACTGCTATCGCCAGTATTCCCATTTGTCATCTGTTTGCGCGAAGTGACCGAATGGCAAATCGCTTCATAGAAATACGCAGACCAATGGGACGATGATAGGCAGGTTCCAGGTGCGTCTGCAACGACAACACAACAACTCATGTAAGCCCGAGATAGTGTCGACAGCTTGATCATAGACAAGTGTACCTTCAGTGGCTATTTTGCGATGATCTTTAGTTGCATCCACATTGTGGATCTGCTCAAAACAGTTCCCACAAAATTTCAAGTCGCACTCAGCACACCAATACTCGATTCGACCAAGTTGGCACTGCGGGCACACTACAACATCACAAACGAAACACACATTCCCGGTCAATGTTTTCACATGAAATGCTACGATTCGTCAAGACGCACTTGATGTAGACCGGCTACAGTGTTTGTTTTGTGCTTTGTCACAAGACAAATGGGTCGATTTCCAGCATACCAAACACAGCGGGCGGTCCAACAAAAAGCAGCCTTTCTGCTGGCATTCAATAACTGCCTTTTGATTGACTTTCCCGCATTCACACAATGTACACCGCGGTAACATGAGCTCTAAACAGACACACACATACACACATATACATAGACCATTTCTCACACTCTGGCATCAGTCTCGCATTAATCCATGATTCCATCGATGCAGCACGTCAAACTGCGTACGCTTAATCTGCTCGCGGTCGTGTGACTTAAATTTCTGCAGCACTGCTGGCAGCACCTCGTACCACCTTTTTCCTTCTATCTGTTGCTCAAACGCATTGGCAGAAGCAGGACTGTCCGCGGTCATCCGACCTGCTGTACGCAATAGTCCTGTAGTCGAAGTAGAAGTAGTACCTGAAGCAGCTGCTGTCGGTGTTGTCCTTCTTCGGTCATTTAATGCCTTCAATTGCGCCTCCTTCTCGTGCGTCTCGCTCTCCGTACATACGTTCATTTTGTCGCTTCCTGGTCGTACAATAGATACCCTTTTTATATTCAAAGGACCTCCCTGAGTGTGCGAAACCCCTTGCAAAGCTGGCTTTTCTGTCGTAGATGAAGATATTCCACGCCCACTACGAGCCGAGCCTGTCGTGGACTGATGTGTCGCTTGTGGAGTAGGGGAGAAGGAGGCGCGTGGCTCAGCATGCTGGCTACAGGTGCGACTCTCCTCCGCGTTAAGTGAAGACCGAGACGCGAGTGACGCGCTCCTTGAGCCCGACGGTCCAGCGTTCATCTCCCTATTTACGGTGAAACAATTTTGACTTTGCTAAAGCGAAATTGATATATCGCTCTCGTTGTACAAAACCTGGCTCCCTAGATTCGAACCTTGCAAAGTCGCTCGTACAAACCTACTCCCTAGCGCTTTTTCCGGCTGTCGAATTGGAACATAAACCCGTCTTTTGTGCAAGGACGCCTGTCTGATGACGTATACGAGTCAACTGCATTAAGCGAACGATGACCGACCTCACTAAACCACGTCCTTCCGTCGAGGCCACAAATGCCTCAAAATCCACCTACTTGTCGAATTTCAATTAACTTGCTACCTCTCTCTCTCTATCCTTCTTCAATGACCATTGCTTTTGCCGGGCCAACCTTGTCCTTAAACGTCGGGTAGTTGCAAGTGTCCTTGAAGCTGGTCGTCGGTGGCTGGTCCCCTTAGCTTTTTTCGATGTATGCACGAGTCAAAAGGACGGTGCTGATGTAAAGGAGCTTGCAAAACGAGATTGTTTATGACAGTCTCCCCCCCTTTGCTCGCTTCTCGTATGTCACGTCACATAGAGACTTGCCCTGGCCAATTTCATCCACTGGGTGCTCACCCAGCGCATGATATTGCGTCGGTCGACAAATTGGTATGTCGTCGTCCCTGCTCTTCTTGATTGGTCCTCCACAATGTTTACGACATCAGCGGTCATAAATCGGCGCATGAGAAATAACACTGGAGATCCAGAAACGAAAAAAAGTTCCGACCATGTGTTGTCGCTATAGTCGCGGCCCCATGATAAAGCGACTGCTGATACGTGCCTCGCTAAAAAGAAGCATCCGTACGCGTCATGGCAACGACTTGGTCTGACAGACATTCGAGTCGAAAGCGATGTCTGTAACGGGGTGAATCGTTACATAACAATTTATAAGAAATTGTTAATAGAATATAACTATAAGAGTTATATTCTCAGAATATTGTCATAAGGACAAATATTCTGTAGCACTTACAAGTAGTTCCTAATTGGTTGATATAGGCCATTATATCAACCAACGAAGACGCGCCACGACGGACGCACGCAATGAGTGGTGAGCAGATAACTGATTTACACATTTGTATTTAGACATAGTTAGATGAAGATAAATAGTGATTTATTGCAGACATTAACTATTATAAATACAGTTCTACTTTTACTCTAACCGAGTACTCGCTTCTTCTTACCGTCTTCCTCTGCACGTACGAGTGTACGTGAAGTTACGAGGCACCGCCTTATTCTGTTATCAGAATAAGTAGCTTGTACTGTCACCAGTACAAGCTTCAGGGTGCCCCGTTACACCTGGTAGCACTTCGTAGTCCGTCCAAGGACCGCGTTCACATCCAACATGAATATGTTGGATGATGAAGATGACCAAAGCTTTCACGCTACGCGTGACGGCTACTCCCATTTGAGCGATGTCGAATGGGATGCGGTTGAACGAATGGGTTCGACCATGGGCATCCATGCTGTTAGCGTCATGCTAGAGGCTCTCAATAGAGATGCCCAACATGCTACTATCGCCAAGTTCATTCAAAATGAACTTGACGCAGAACGCGAGAAAGTAGCCTTGCTTCACCAACAAGGTTCTCAACAAGCAGAGTTGTTGAGAGAACAAGGTGCTCAACAGTTTGAACTGTTGAGACAGCAGCAGGCTGCTGCTGGCGGGTCGATGCACTCGCGTCGGCCCGAGACTTTGAAGATTGACATCTCAAAGTATAGGGGGTCGAAGAAGACTCCCTCTTGAGATGGTTCGTCGAATTGGACGACGCTATAAGGGCGCGTCGCATCGACGACGGGGATATGCAAGTTGCATTTGCCCAGTCAAATCTGGCAGGACGTGCCAAGACTTGGGCACTGGGGCTCAAGCTGCACGACCCATATGCGTTTGGGTCGTTGGAAGTCTTCAAGTCGCGGCTCAGACAAACGTTTGAACCGCCTAGAGCTGAGTTCAGAGCTCGAACCGAACTCTTGAAGCTCAAGCAGGGTAAGCGTGATGTGCACGCTTACGCTCAACATATACGACATCTCACGAGTTGTATAAGTTCCAATCCGGTGGATGAACACACGTTGGTTTTGGTGTTCATGCAGGGTCTTGCGGATGGTCCCGTCAAGACTCACCTGTTCCGGCTTGAACTAGATTCACTAGAACAAGCCATTTCAATTGCGGAGCAGGAAGACTTCAGTCTGAGACAGGCTCGCGCCAGCTCGACATCATATCGTCAACCGAGACGATATGACAACGGGGGATCCAGAGCCGATGGAACTCTGTTATGTAGAGAGCGAGAAGGCTCGCTCTACAGGCTACAAGAAGTTGCAGAGATACAACAGATGTCAAAAGACAGGACACTACGCTTACGAGTGTAGTGCCCCTCGTCCAGTGTCTCGCGACACTGGGCGTAGTGACCGTCCACCCATGAGAAAGGGGCAGGGACGAGGGTCCGCAGTTGGTGCAAAAGACGCAACAACGGGATGGACCGTCAAAAAACGGACAGGATCAGTAGGTGCGGAGCACCCTACTGATCCAGCAACGTCAAGAGAATTTGTAGGCCTCTTGATGAAGGTTGCTCCCAACACACAGACATTGTGCGTTGCTGCTCTAGGTAATGAGATCTCACTCATTACCTTGAAACTCGAAGTGACGAATAAGTTGTCCCTTCGAGCTCTAGTCGATTGTGGGGCGTCCAACAATTTTGTGCGACGCCAATCGCTAGAAGATGGTCACTTTAAATTCAGTGAATGTGACACACCTCCTACGAGGATGACGGTACGTCTTGCGACAGGCGCATCCGTAACCGTCATGAAGCGTATAGTGAAGATTCACTATACGCTAGAAGATACCCAATACGACGATGACTTTATCGTATTGGATTTGGATGACAAATTTGATGTCATCCTTGGAATACCGTGGCTCAGAAGGTACGAACCACGGGTAAACTGGCAACATCGGACAGTAACGATGCCTGCCGCTTGTTCATCAGATGGCCATCTGATGAACGTTTTGGAAACGTCCACAAGCGTGTGGATGTACTACGAGTGAGTGCGATGGCCTCACTTGTGGTACGGTCGTTAGTACGACTGCACAAAACCTTAGTGTACCAAACGGTTACACTTCGGAGCAAAGTTCCGGCGGCTGTGAGGAAACACAGGCTGCGCCGAAGGTCCACCACTCGAATAAGTCGGGTGGACTGGGACAAAGATGTATCCCTAGAGGGGAACATCTAGAAGAGAAACAATCGATCGCTCAGGTTAAGCGAAACGATAATCCTAGATCGACTGGAGAGTCTTTCGTAGAGGATCTCGCTGTGGTTGCGCAACCCCAGCTAGAGGAAGTAAAGGGAATAAGTCCCAAGATTACAAATACGGCGGAAATAAGTTCCCCGAAACCCGCGGGAATAAGTCCCCGGGAAGACGAAGGAATAAGTCCTTCGAAGCCTGAGGGAATAAGTCCCCAGGAAATGACAGAGACATTGAATGTCATAGTCAATAACGGATCATGTGTAGGCGCTTATACACTTGATCTGATTGCGCCTCCGAAGTTAACTTCGGAGATCACTCAGTTGCCAACGCTCGAACATAAAAGGTTCTTGCGTGATCTGCGTAGTGGCAAAGTCAAGCAGATCTGCATACTCGTCGCTGACGACGAGTATGTAACCGACATAAGGTCAGCAACAGTGTTTACTGAGAACGAGAGAGTTCTCAGTAGTTCATCTATGGACGAGAGTGTCCTAGATGAAAAGACACGAATTGAGCGATATGAGTCCCAATCATGGGAATCGCTCAAGGAAAACCCTCTCTATGAGGATTTGGTTGAATTCAAGGATGTATTCCCTGAAACTGTTCCGTGCGAATTACCGAAGGATAAAGGTATTCGACACGAAGTCGAGCTTAAACCAGGCTCGAAGTACTGTGTCATGAAGCAGTGGCCACTGCCTCGTGAACAAGTACTTGCGATCGACAAGTTCTTTGCCGATCGTTTAGCAGCAGGCCATGTGAGGGAATCAACTTCCCCACATAGCTCTCCGACCTTCTGTGTGCGAAAAGCAACAGGAGGGTGGCGGATAGTGCACGCGTTCAACAAATTGAACGCTGCAACGGTACCGGCTCAGACGCCGATACCGAGGAAGGACGTAATCATTGATGGTATGTCAAAGAGTACCATCTTTTCGTCCATGGATTTGATGGATGGCTTCTATCAAATCCTAATGCGGAACAGGATATACCCTATACCGCAGTTAGCACGCCTAGCGGCATGCTCTGGGAATGGCTAGTAATGCCACAAGGGCTCAGTAATGCCCCTGCCACGTTCAACAGATGTATCACATCTGTTGAGACCAATACGAGATTCGCGCCGAGTTATTTCGATGACGTATTCATCCATAGTCGAGCTATGGATGGAAAGTCGGACGTTGAGGTTCACAGGTACCACGTCCGACAAGTTCTTACAATCATGCGAAAGCATCAATTTGTATGCTAACCTCAAGAAGTGTATATTTGCAGCAAGCGAAATACCACTTCTTGGGTGCATCGTTGGTAAGAACGGTGTACGTCCTGATCCCGAAAAGATCAAGGCGATCACCGACTGGCCCGTGCCGGTCGATGTCAAAGGTCTTCGAAAATTCCTTGGGCTAGCGGCGTATTTGCATAAGTATTCACGCAATTACGCCGAGATGACTGTACACCTCTCTCGTTTGTTGAAAAAGAACGAGAGGTGGTTATG